CATTCGAAAAATAAATCTATTCGACATATGATCTGTTGATTGCAGTGTATGGGCGACTCTCTCAGGTTCATGTCATCTGCCCACGGTGCAAATTATGACGTCCATATCCAGTTTGAGGCAGGCAAAGGGAAGTCTTTCACAGAGATGCTGAAAACGGGCTGCATGTCCCCAATCCGAGTGGAGAAGAAGAGAACTAAGCCGGTCAGTTCAAAATTCAAAATGGGGATTACTTTCCTGTACTAAGCGGGGAAAATCTCAGACCCATTCCACCTAAGCCCACTCAGAAAAAGCTCAAGTTCACTCGATCAGAAAAGGGTAAATGGGTTGATTATGTTGGGACCAACAAGGAAGCCCGAAAGATCCTTGGGGCAAAAATGCAAGGTCCAAATTATAAAACAAGAAGCTCGAAATTTAAATGGAGACCCAAAGGAGTCTACCTGATCCAAGATAAGTCTAAAATCATTGAGTTGAATTCTGCTCCTTCAGAGTCATGCCCTAAGTAAGATGCAATCGAAGACATGGTCGCACCTTACTCTGGAAATAGGTATGTACCCCTCACTGTGAAAAATTTCTTGATATAGAATTTTTAGATGAAGCTACTATGTTGTTCTCTGAACCCAACCATACAATCACATTGGTGCCTTTGGCCATTGAGACCAAACACCAGTCTATCAATGAGGAGCCTGTTTCCCTTCTCTCATCAGTCTCTAAAGAAATAGTTCTGGTTAATCAGCCTCCAAATGTGCCAGCTGAATGGAGTGAGGCTTAGGTTTACTCAGATTAGGTGCTTTAGAACATAAAAGGGATTAGCCAAATATTGAGCGTTACTTATGTAGGTTTTGTAGATAAAGCTATATCATTATTTGCTGAGTTGGAGAAAAGAAATTGGAAAATGGAAGCGGGTCCACAATTGAAAAAGGGGAAGAAAAAACAGCAAGATGCAGGGACAAGGGAACTGAGACGGCTTCAATGCTCAGTCAACTATGATAGCAACGAAAGAAATGCAACAAAGGGTACATCAGTAGATCCATCAACATCTAAATGATAGAAAAAACCATCTCTTGGAATGTAAGGGGTCTCAACGATCGGGGCAAAAAAAACATTGTTAGAAGTTGCATGTCCAGATGGAAACCAACAATTGTGTGCTTCCAAAAAACCAAAATTCAAGAGATCGATGAGAACATCATAAAGAGTCTGTAGAAGTTGCGCTCAGTTGGGTGGTTCGCAAGTCCAGTCAAGGGTAATGTTGGAGGCATTCTGGTTATGTGGAATAAAGACTTTGTGGATTGTAAGGATCGACTCCTGGGTGAAGCAACTCTCTTGTCTGTTTACCAACTTGCAAAAAGGTGTTGACTGGTTCTTCACAGGTGTTTATTGCAGAAGTAACAATGTTGAAAGGGCAATGCGTTGGGGTGAAATGTCCGAGTGTTTGCACAAATGGGGCAATAGGGGCTGATTGGTGGAGACTTCAACATGATTCTTAGAAGATGGGAGAGAAGCAGCAACAATTATTCTGTCTCTGAGGCCCAAGACTTCCAAACGTTTATTGATAATCATGACTTGATTGATCTTCCCTGGAAAGGTGGTAACTAGACATGGAGCAATGACAGGGACACTCCCTCCTACTCAAGGATTGACAAATTTATAATCAGTCAAGATCTCCCCTTGAACACGCGGAGTCTCTCTCAAAAGGTACTCACTAGACCTCTCTTATTACTTTCTTATTTGTCTTGATCCTGGGGGTATTTAATGGGGTCCTTCACCTTTTAGAATTGACAACAAATAGTTCAAATTTGAAGTTTCAAATCAATGGTTGAAACTGTATGGAAAAACATTGGCTGTAAAGGGACACCTAATTACTGCCTTGCCTTCAAACTCAAAATTCTGAAAGAGAAAATAAAAATCTAGGCAAGAGATGTGGAAAAGACTGAGGAAAATAACATTAACGGTTTTATGAGCGAGCTTGATATTCTGGAAAATGCAGAATATGTTTCAAGATTGTTTCCTACTGATAGAGAAAGAAAAAACAATTTTAAAATGGAACTTGTCAACAAACTCAATCTAGAAGCCATCTCTTGGAAACAAAAAGCCAAAGATAAGTGGCTCAAAGATGGTGATCAAAATACCAAATATTTCCATTGTCTTCCCAACTATCGCAAAAGTGTTAATTAGGTGGAAGAACTCCTCATTGAAAATACCAAAATCGAAGGTAACACAGAAATGAGAGATGAGGCATGCAATTATTTCGACAATATGTTCACTGAAGAGAACTCTTAGAGACCGAAACTGAGTAATCTCAACTTTAACAGGTTAGATGATGTTGTTGCGCCTCAACAGGAAATAAAATTAATATTTTTTGAGATTTATGGTTGTCTAAAAATTGTGATGGAGACAAAGCATCGAGTCCTGATAGTTTTAATATGAAATTTTTCTTAAGTGTTTTGGAGTGTTGTTAAAGATGATATTTTGACATTTTTCAAAGACTTTCATCAGAATTCTTCGTTTGTCAAATCAATTGATTCCACCTTTATGGTCTTGATTTCGAAAAAGAAAAATGCATCCAACATTAAGGATTTTTTCCCTATTAGTTTGGTTGGTTATATCTATAAGCCCATCTTTATAGTGTTGGCAAGTAGATTGCCTAAAGTCATTGATTCGATCATTGGGGAAAATCAACAAACTTTTGTTTATGGGTTTCAAATTATTGATGCTATTCTTACGGCAAATGAGGTGGTTGATGATGTTGTTAGAAATAAAAAGAAGGGACATTTTATGTAAATTAGACATGGAGAAAGCTTTTGACTGTGTCTCTTGGGACTTTGTTGATCATATGCTTGAGAATCTCGAGTTTAGATTCAAATGGAGATGCTGGATTACGGAATGTATTACTACCACAGGTTTTGTTGTGTTGATCAATGGTGACCCATCTAAATTCTTTAAGGCTTCTAGGGGCTTAAGGTAAGGTGATCCCCTCTTCCCATTATTATTTATTATTGTTATGGAAGCACTCAACAAACTTGTATTGCATACTCAACAGACTCAGGACTATTGAGAAGTATCTTTGTGAGAAAAAATGGCCATCAACTTGAATTTTCTCACTTATTCTTTGCGGATGACACTCTTTTCTTCTGTCAGACTGATGTGAGGAATATTCTTCATCTTAGATGCATTCTACTTTGCTTCCAAACGGTTTCAAGTCTCAAAATTAACATGAAAAAATCTGAATTGATTATGCTTGGGATGAATTCAAATGGTCTTCTTGCTAAAGCACTTGGTTGCAAATATGCTCAACTTCCTTTAAAATATTTGGGTGTTCTTCCTGGTGCCAAACATAAAGACAACAAAAGTTGGGAGCCAGTCATTGACGCATTCCAAAATAAACTAGCGTGTTGGAAAAGTAAATATCTATCTAAAGGTGGGAGGCAAACTCTAATCAAAAGTACTTTGTCCAATCTTCCTATATACTATCTTTCGATGCTCACTATACTAAAAAATATTGCTAAACGACTTGAAGCCATTCAATGTCGCTTTTTTGGGGGAGATGATGATTCGAATAGAAAGATTCACCTGGTTAACTGGGATCAGTTGAAGAAATCAAAGAACTATGGCGGTGGAATAAAATTCATTATTGGCCTCAATAAAGCTTTACATGGTAAGTAGATTTGGAGGTTTTGCAATGAAAATAACAGTCTTTGGAAGGAAGCCATTATGTGAAAATGGTTTGGCAGCAATGTGTATGACCTTGCTGGTATGGAGAAGAGCTCGTTTGATCTTAGCCTATGGAAGAGTATCTGGAAAACTAGTAAACTGATTCTAAAAAAAACCAAATGAATGATTGGAAAAGGTGACAAAATCCAATTTTGGCAGGATATTTGGTGCGGTCAAATGAGTCTCCAAAACCAACTCCCTCACATTTACACTATTGCTAGGAATAAAGAGATTCTCTTGAAAAATGTTTATGGAGTCAGTTCTTCTCTATCTCGGAATGTGGCTGTCACCAAGAACTTGAAAGATTGGGAGGTAGAAAAATATGAAAAGCTTCTCCAAATTCTAGCTAATGTCAAAATGGGTACTAATGCTGATAAATTAAGCTAGAATTTATGCAAGAATGACTTCTTTTTCTATTAAATCTCTCTACATAAATTTGATGGACAGAAATCATTCTACCTCTATTTTTCCTTACAAAATCATCTGAAATATTTTCGTTCTACCCAGAATTTCTGTTTTTGTTTGGAAAACTGCTATAGATTCTATTCTCATGCTAGACAACCTTATGAGAAGAGGTTTTGTGTTGGCAAACCGGTGTGCATTATGCAAGCAGACTATGGAATCTTGCAACCATCTTCTTTTTTGTGTCCAACTTCCTATGAACTATGGACAATAATTTATAAGCTGCTGGGTGTCTCCTGGGTTATGGCTGGATCTGTCAAGGCGAATTGTTAACTTGGGAAGGCCTCAAATCGTGTAATAGGTGGCATAAGGTTATTTCTTTAACAATACTTTGGATTATATGAAAAAAAAAAATTGTAGAATTTTTTAAGGCAAAGAAACAAATTTTGCCATTATTAAGGA